GTTTTTTGCGGTTTTCTTTACTTTTTTGGATTCGGGAGGTCTCGAATCCTGGGAATTTGTAAATGCTCGAATGGTCAAATTTGACGCGATTCGAATGCTTTCAAAGTCTACATTCTCGTGCTCCACACTGAATATTGTTTTACTAATCAGTGATTACAGTTAAACACGAAGTTGATCGATCGTCCTATTATGTAAAACAAAACGCTGTATTGTCTTTCATTTATTTATATATTTTATTCTTTATTCTATACAAATATTAAACTTTTTCACTATGACTTTTGAAAAGTTTGAATAGGTTGTTTTTCGTAAATGATTTTAAATCTTTGTATATTTGTATTAATAAAATAACACAATTAGTTAATTCAAATAAAATGTTTATTTTGAGAACCGTCCATAAATTACTTATACAATTTTTTAGTCAATTGTGATTCGCTTCCTTTTCTGTACAATATACTTGTAGGCAGACCTCCTCGTGTTAATTACTATACAATAGATCTCAGACCCTCCTAGTAATAACTTTAAAGTAACATAATATAAAATAATTTACACTACATACTGGTATGTTTCTTACAACATTAAGTTCTATGGAAGTAAACTACATAAATTATAATTTTCGTAATTTGTATGAATGATTCTCGTTAACCATAGACTTGTGAATTAAAGTTTTATGTTTATTTATTATCGTGCACAATTTAGTGCTGAAGTTGCAAATTAAAATATTACAAAGTATGCTATTGATTAGCCTGCAAAATTACATTATATAATATAGAAAATCGTGTAACAGGTAATAAAAATGTACAATTTCGCAAGTATTTTTCAATGTTGTCGTTACTATATCTACTAAGCTCGTTTAGAATATAATCTGCAGAATCTACTGAATATCCACATCAGATACGTTTAACATTTGTTTTCTGTGGCTAATGAGGATAATCCTGAATAACATGATTCAGTTGCACTAATAACCTGTAATAGTAAAAACTACGTTATAATAATAATAAACAATTATAAAATTAAATATTATTATAACAATTATTAAGTACAGTTGAATGCTGAGATTACACATTAAAAAAGACTCAACTAACATCTCTTGTGTGTCTATCTAAAGAATAGAGAGGTTGCGTCCTTAGTTTTCATCTGTAAAACGTGAACGTCGAACGTCGAGCGCCGCTATCTTGTAAGAGGCGCTTGACGTTCGACGTTCACGTTTTAAAGATGATAACTTCGGCCGCAACCTCTGTAATACTTCTCGAATGACGTGTAAACTTCAAACGGAGAAGATTCGCCATTACAGATAAATATTTACATTACACTTTCTAAAAGTGTAAAATGTTACGATGTACTGTACTTATTCTGAGTATTGCTACATAATAGTTACTAATACTCAATGTAACTTTTAATTAGAAAGTAGTGTACATTCGTTTTAGCAAATACTGTATTGAGTGTTTATTCTTGTACAGAAGATACATCCAAAACATTGCCTGTTTTAACTACTTATCTTTGATAAATATGAAAGTATGAAATTACGAGTATCAATTGTATATATATTTTAGGCAGGAAAACACAATAGAATACGAAAATCTGGCAGAAATAAATCCGAAGAATATATAACATACTTTATGAAATGTCTGAATAATGGTGAGTTTTAATTATTCAACTGATACAAAAACAGATTCATGTATAAAACTCACTTCACCAGGTAGAAGAGGGTTTAAAACTGCAGATCATTCCAAGGTCGACTGTAATTTTTATCTACTGTTTAATTTTTTACTGGAGTTTAAATAAAATTTATACAGTAATTATTTCTTATTTATCAATTTCAGAGACTGACTTGGTATATATTAATCACACGTTTCTAACGTATTATGTCTGCATATTACTAATGAACACAATACTTTTTACTTAAACCACGGAGTGATTTTACATTTTTAACACGAGGGCAAAACAGCTAGAGAGTGACTACTGTATAGACATTTCTAAAGTAAAATTCAGTACATCTTTTGTTAATTACAGTAAAATAATTAATGTCTTGCATTTTGCATATGCTTTTTGTCTGGAAAAAAAACACAGAAACTTACTTTAACAACGTAGTTCTTCTTCACAAAGTAAAATCCACCAATAGACATACCAATTGGAGTTTTTGCAAATCTCTTTGCAAAACAAAGCAACTGTAAAATATAAAGAATTAGAAAGAGTTTATATAAAATAGCAAAAACAGAGTGATAAAAAGCTGCGGAAATTCTACAGATTTTATCAAAACTACTGTTATATTTATGTCTTCATTTTCGTATTATTATTATTATTATGTTGGGTTCAGTGGGTAATACTCGGTTAAACCGGTGGCTGTGTACTATGCCGGACCAGAGTCAAGGCATAGCAACCAAAACAAAACTAAAATTAAATAAGTGTGTCAGTGTCAGTGTCAGTATTCAGGAATTTCCTAACAATGTGGCATGTATTCAATATAGTGGCCTTCTGTAGTGTGATGTATGTATTTCTACTCAATTGTAATGTTCCCAGGCTTTTGTGTAGTGTGTGTGGTATCACACCTGTACAGGAGAGAACGACAGGTACAATAAGCACCCTATCCATCCTCCACAGATGCCTTATTTCCTGGGCGAGTTCTGTGTACTTGCTAATTTTTTCAGTGCATGTGTTTTGTACATTGTGAGTGTTTGGAATGGCTATGTCTATAATGTATGTGATTTTATTGTGTTTGTCAATGAGTGTGATGTCTGGTCTGTTGTGGTAAATTGTTTTATCTGTGATTATGGCTCTGTCGTAATACATTTTGTGCGTGTTATTTTCCAATACTGTCTGTGGAATATACTTGTAGTATGGTTCGTGGATGTCTGCCAATTTGTGTTTCTTTGCAAGCTCTTGGTGTATTATATTTGCTACTTGATTGTGTCTATGTAAGTAATCTGTCTGTGCCAAGAGCTTGCAACCAGAAGTGATGTGTTGTATAGTTTCTGGCATGATGTGACATTTTCTGCATGTGTCATTTGTGAGTGTTGTATCTTTGAGTATGTGTTTTCTGTAGTTTTTAGTATTTATGACCTGATCCTGTATGGCAATCATGAATCCTTCCGTCTCCCCAAAGAGGCATCCCCGATCTAACCAGCTGTTTGACGCAGTTTTGTCAACAAAATCCTGGGCCAGGTCGTAAGGATGCCTGCCATGGAGAGCCTTTTGAGCCCATGATTGCTTAATGTTGTCTATGCTTTTTATATGTTGTGTCATGTCTGTATGTTGTGAGTGTAAGTTTAATGGTGTGTTATTTGAGTCTGCTAGAGTTACTGCTTTATGTAACTGTGATGTTTCTTGTTTCTTGTAGAAAAACTCTCGCAGTGACTGTATTTGTTTGTAGTGAAGGTTAACTATGTCAATCAGGCCACGTCCGCCTTCTTTACGTGGAAGGGTTAATCTTTCTGTGGCGGATTTAGGATGATGTTGTTTATGCTTAGTAAGTGTTGTTCTTGTTTTCCTTTGGAGTTGCTCGAGATCTGTGTGAGTCCAATGTATAACTCCAAAAGAGTATGTGAGTACTGGGATGACATATGTGTTTATTGCTTTAACTGTGTGTTTTGCATTTAACTGTGTTCTAAGTATAGCGTTTAACCTACTTTGGTATTCTTTAATTAATCGTTGCTTTATTTGTGTATGTTCTGTTAGTTTGGCCTGTTGGAATCCTAAGTACTTGTAGAACTCGCCCTCTTCCATGGATTCAATAACGTCTCCATTTCCAAGTGCAAAATCTTCTTTCTTCAGGATTCCTTTTTCTATGTGAAGTGTTTTGCATTTGTCTAAGCCAAACTCCATTTGTATGTCCTTAGTGTATGAATGTGTGATTTGTAGGAGTTGATGAAGTTGTTTTTGTGTGGATGCATAAAGTTTTATGTCGTCCATGTACATGAGATGTGAGAGTGTAAACTGTGTTGTTTTTTCATGTCTGATATTGTAGCCATATTGCGTGTTGTTTAACATGTTGGATAATGGGTTCAAGGCTAGGCAGAACCAGAGAGGACTCAAGGAATCTCCTTGAAAAATTCCTCGCCTAATGAATATTTCGTTTGTTTGTATCGAAATGTTACTAACCCTGAGATGTTTATTATTATTATTATTATTATTATTATTAGTGTTTTTCGCTTTGTGGCTACCATGATGACATTTTTCTAGGCTTATCGTAGGATACACATTGGGGACAGTCAAATGGTAAGAAATAGAACCCAAGAGCTCGAGGTCTGTAACATATCTATCATAAAATAAAAGTTCCTGAGGTCACACCCAGATACGATTACTGCTTCTACAGTGTGGCAAGCTGATGCCATTACCGCCTAGAACATACCAAAGTTATTTGGAGCGAAATATGAGCTTAGAATGCATTCTTATTTTTAAATATACTAAACGTTTATTAAACAGGCACTTACAGAATCACAATAATGCCAAATTATTAGAGAAAAACAGGTTCACGAAACGTGCAACAAGATTTGATTCTGCAATAACAAGATGCTGTTATAAAATCAAACATTTCTCAATCTCAATGCCCTTGTTCCAACAGCTAACTCATTGAGTATTAAAAAAATACTTGTTTGTTAATTTATTGTGAAGACGATTCGGAATTACAGGCTGATTCTGGGTGTGTGCCATATTAGTATACATATTAGATAATTAGGCGTCAGATTAACGTATTTATATTCCACTTGAAACAATGTTACTAAGACACTTACTTTTAATTTATCGTGTACTGTTAGAAATGGTGACGTTGAAAATATCACTATCTCTTCGAACTTTCCGTAAATCTAAATTAAAAGTAAATATACAGGAAAAAGAAAAATTCATAATTTATTTAAGACTAGTTATTTAAATTCTTAAAGTAAATGTCCTGACTTACCTTAGCAGTCATACGAGACTGTGCGTAGGAAATCAAAACTACGCAAGAAGCAACAACGAAAAAGGCAAAGAAAAACAACATCTTCATTCGTTTTTCCATTTCTACGAATATGATTCCACACATACAGAAACAAGTCAGGTAAATTGAGATTTCCTGTCTCAGTGGAAATACATGTCGCATACATTCATTGGTTCGATCGAGAAACGACAACAAATCCGTGTGTTTGAACATCAAATCGTTTAATTCAACTCTTAGATTTCTGGAATTTGATTTTATTCGCCCAAAATACTTTGATAAGTAATCGAATCTTTTGGACAGGATCCAAGCTGCACAACTGAACTGCAATTCGTTAATGGCGAACGTCGAGAAAAGGGCAACGAATACGAAATGAAGATAAAAGGCACAAAAGTGGGCTCTCAATTCACTCTCAAAATATGTTAAAAAGAATGGATAGAACACCAAATCAAACGTATATCTCTCTACCAATATGTAAGAAACGGCAAACACCAATGCGATAAAAGAGTATTTCTCAAGCTTTGCGAAAATCGCGGATTCGCCATCGTAGGATGTATCTTTGTTAAGAAATTCAAGTTTCATCCTACTTAAGAAGGTTTGAGACAGAGCAAAGTAAGGAAACATTAATGCAACAATTGCTCTAGTTAAGATGTCTGCTTTCGAGAATATCTTAGTCCAACCTGCACAAATCGATACATCAACAGAGAAATGCAGAAAGGCATCTATTGTATTAAACCACCAAAATGTTTCTAGGAAAATCAGATAAGCTTTGTAGAGAAATTCGACTCGTTTTGACTTGTTTCTAGTTTCAATGCAATCGCAATTTTGAAAAAACTTTAATCCAAATATTCTGACCACAGCCAAAATTGGCTTCATCAGGCAAGAAGGACAACATTTACCTTCTACACTATCCATGGATACTCAGTAAACTCAATCGATAATATGATCTTTTATGTACATAATATGATTATAAATTTATTATAAATATTTAATTAAGAAAAGTAAATGGATAAATAACGTAAACGAAATATTCTAATATGTATAGTATATATCAGTTTTGTTTTTCCATACTTTTTTCGTAATTTTCAAGTGATACTCAGACTACTGTTGATACATCTGTAACATCAAAATATTACTTATTATATCATAAAATAAATTTTAAATAAGTTGAATTAACATGAACGATGCTTAATCATTGCTTATATTACATATTTTCTACTATTAGAAACTAGATATCCCAGGCGTTGCTCGAACAAAATGTAACCATAGCGAATATTAATATTATTACATTATTACCAATCATATCTGTTTTCACTAAGTGCAAAAATTAGGTTCCCGTCTTCCGAGAGTAATTAGAGAATGTTTAGGTGGGTCTAAAAATTACATTTGATTTCTTGCAAAATAACCGCATCTGAAATAGTACAGTAGAAAGTGGGTTCTTCAGAGTTATCCTTATCCCTGTCCGAGAAGGAGAGAGATAAGGATTCCCTAACAGGGGAAAATCCTGCTAGGGAATTTCGAAAAATCTTTTTTTAGTGTACATTAGGGTTTTTCATTTTCGGATCCTTTCCTTGTCCTGACATTTCGGATCCTTTCCTTGTCCTGACATTCCGGATCATTTCCTTGTCCTGACATTCCGGATCATTTCCTTGTCCTGACATTTCTTGTTCTGTTTTCTGGGATCCCGAGTAATCTCGGGATATACTTAATTATTTTTAAGATATAAAATAAATCTCGAAATCGAATGATAATTTTTTTTTCATTTATTAAGTAATTTAATTTCGACATCAAGCTTTAGCCCGATAATTCGGCCGTTCGTTCGGCTTTAATAATCAGGTTAATGAAGAAAAACTTCATACACGCATACTTCGCACTCATTTGTATCCTTGCCCGATTTGCACAACCTGGAATAATGCAGTTATTGAAGCTACTGGGCATGGTTAAAACTTAAGACAGCAATTATTCAAGATATTACAAGTTCTTACAAGTGAAGAATTTTCAATTTTGCCACAAATAGACTAAATATTGATTATTGACAATCTGTTACATTCTATAAGAAGTATAATTTTAAAACACTAATAAGCAGTCTTAAAATTAATAAATACAAATATATTCTGACAGTTTGTAAGTTAATTATACTGTCTATTTACAACTGTATACAGTATCTACTTTTTTACCCACACCTGAATATAACTTTTCAGGTAATTAAAAACTAAACTTACTTTTAGGAACCAATTCAAATATTTATTAATATATTTTAGTTATTGTTATTTATTTACTTTTCTAAAAAATAATATTTTCAAATTTTATATTATTTATTTTTGGCATTTTCCGTGAAAATACATATACACGAAACTTTTAATTACAATTACACATATGATACTCTGTACCCCGGTAACATGGCTTCTTAATTAGGGTCTTTATGTATTTTTAATATGCACTCAAGATAATCTGTGAACATAAGTAAATTGATTAATTATTTTAAAAAATCCAGCAACAAGTTGCTTAACTTTCCAGGCAACATTTAAAGTTTTGGTATTGCCATCTGTTACGATATTTTATTATAAAAACTTTTTATATTTTTAATTATTCTAACATAATAAAAAAATTAATTTTAAAGATAGGAATGGATTTTGTAAAAAGTTGTAAACGCTAATAAAGAATAAAATCGTCATTAAGTCGGACCCTCCTCGAGATATGACATACCATCAGCACTATCTCCCCATTGTGGTGCCACCTTAAGGTTACTAATTTCACGCTAAATTGATTACTAGCCTTATTTAATAGATAAAATTTAAGCTTAGGAACATTAGATTTGTTTCTTTTACCAAATTTTGCCCATTTAAATCCTTATACATTTATGATCGACAAGGTAATTTTGTAATTTAAAAATATGTTTTTATTAATTAAATTAAAAATAATTTAAATTTAATTTAAATTCAAGGCATAATTTATTAGTATCATCGTAACGTATTTGTGAATAGCTAAAGCTATCTCTTACCTCATACGAATTGCTGCTGACGATTCAATGGGAACAAGACGAGAAAACGCTTCTTTTTATGCAGCATGCGTATTGTTACATAAAGCACTTCGCATAATGAAATGCTGCCAAAGTGTTCATTTAGAGAGAAGTCATCTATATGCAGCAATGCCTAATATTTTATTGTTTTCAAACTCACTACTAGAAATCAATACGTATAAATGAAATGGCACGAATAATCGTCTATTTGGGATAAACAAAGATATGTAGATTACTAGTAGTTTACAGCAAGAATTATCTCAAACTCACTCGAAATAATTATTCTACTTTCAATTTTAGAATATATTTATGAGATTAATTCATTTCTCGTAAATCTATTGTTATTCTGCCTTAAATTAGAATAGAATATTTCATGTTTTCGATTTTATTCAAGAATAAATAGCCGATATTTTAACTTAAATTACATTACAATGAGAGAATCAATATCAATACATTCAGTACAAATATTCTAGGCCTGATTATTACTTACCATAAATATTTCATAGCTGTGTTATTTTCAATGTGAATTACAACGTGGAATTAATTATATTTTAAGAAGCACCAATCTTCGTTTAATTTCAACAAAGTCTTTAATTTGGGAAGAAATTTTATTGCTCAACGTTAATGGCATTTTTTGAATTATGATGGAAATCTTCATTTAATAATGGATTTAAACACCATTACACTATCTGAAAGTTAATAGTGTAATAGTAATTAATAATTTTATACGTTTACACGAATAAATGAAAAATAAATGGAGTATGGAAATGACCTGTGGCTTTACAATCGACTTACCAGCACGTGTTTATGTGGTTACCATGGCAGGATTGTGTACTGTAGACAGTAAAGCTACTTTTCGCTTGTCCTGCCATTTTATTACCATAAGCTTACCTCTCTGATAAGCAATTGTCTTTCCCTTTTTCAATTTTTTTGGAATATTCTATGGATTGCTGGCAGAATCTCCTGTTTTATCGTGCGTACGGTCCCATAAAAATCCGTCTTGCAGGCAATAAAATGATTCTCCAACTGTGGGGAAGAGATAGCAAAATCTATATGCTGTTTGACAATAGCCCTTGTCTAACAACGAATAATTTTTATATCTCTACAGTTTGCGGATTATTTTTTACTGTGCGGTATCGATTTTTACGGAATATTATTACGGACGAATAGATGAGACGTTTTGGCTGACATTCACAAAACATATTATAATGTATCTTTTAGAATAAGTCTTCTTGACCCACTGGTAAAAACATATCACAACGAAACGAGAGTAAAACATCAAGGTCAGCTTTATTGAAAAGATGCTCATGCAAATGAGTACTTATTTGTCAATACACCGCTTCAGTTCCTTACAACCGAATNGGTTTTTCATTTTCGGATCCTTTCCTTGTCCTGACATTTCGGATCCTTTCCTTGTCCTGACATTCCGGATCATTTCCTTGTCCTGACATTTCTTGTTCTGTTTTCTGGGATCCCGAGTAATCTCGGGATATACTTAATTATTTTTAAGATATAAAATAAATCTCGAAATCGAATGATAATTTTTTTTTCATTTATTAAGTAATTTAATTTCGACATCAAGCTTTAGCCCGATAATTCGGCCGTTCGTTCGGCTTTAATAATCAGGTTAATGAAGAAAAACTTCATACACGCATACTTCGCACTCATTTGTATCCTTGCCCGATTTGCACAACCTGGAATAATGCAGTTATTGAAGCTACTGGGCATGGTTAAAACTTAAGACAGCAATTATTCAAGATATTACAAGTTCTTACAAGTGAAGAATTTTCAATTTTGCCACAAATAGACTAAATATTGATTATTGACAATCTGTTACATTCTATAAGAAGTATAATTTTAAAACACTAATAAGCAGTCTTAAAATTAATAAATACAAATATATTCTGACAGTTTGTAAGTTAATTATACTGTCTATTTACAACTGTATACAGTATCTACTTTTTTACCCACACCTGAATATAACTTTTCAGGTAATTAAAAACTAAACTTACTTTTAGGAACCAATTCAAATATTTATTAATATATTTTAGTTATTGTTATTTATTTACTTTTCTAAAAAATAATATTTTCAAATTTTATATTA